CAGCAAGATTAAATTCAATAAAGACAAGTGCAAAATACTTCACTTAGGAAGGTAAAATCAAATACACAACTACAAAATGGGGCATAATTGGCTAGGTGGTCATACTGCTGAAAAGAATCTGGCAATTGTAGTGAATCACACATTGAACATGCGTCAACAATGTGATGCATTTGCAAAAAAGGCAAATATCATTCTGGGTGTGTTACAGGATTGTTGTATGTAAGACATGGGAGAAATTGCCCTGCTCTGCTCAGCACTGGTGAAGCCTCAGCTGGAGTACTTTGTCCAATTCTGGGTGCCACACTTTAGGAAAGATGTGGCCAAATTGGAGGGAGTACAGAGGAGAGCAACAAAAATTATAAAAGGTGTAGAAAACCTGATTTATGAGGAAAGATTAAAAAAATTAGACATGTTTAGTCTTGAGAAACAATAACTGAAGGGTAGGGAGGGACCTGTTTACAGTTTTCAAATAGGTTAAGGGCTGCTATAAAGAGGATGATGATCAGTTCTCCATGTCCACTGAAAGTAGGATAAGAAGTAACAGGCTTAATCTGCAGCAAGGGAAATTTAGGTTGGATATAAGGAAAACATTTCTAACTCTAAGGCCTGGTCTACACTGGGGGTGGGGGGGAGGGATCGATCTAACATCCGCAACTTCAGCTACGAGAATAGCGTAGCTGAAGTTGACGTATCTTAGATCGACTTAGAATTACTTACTTCGCGTCCTCGCGGCGCGGGATCGACGGCCGCAGCTCCCCCGTCGAATTTGCTTCTGCCTCTCGCCAAGCTGGAGTTCAGCGGTCGACGGGAAAGCGATCGAGGATCGATTTATCGTGTCTACACTACACGCAATAAATCGATCCCCAATAGATCGCTACCCGCCGATCCAGCGGGTAGTATAGACGTACTCTAAGGGTAGTTAAGATCTGGAATAGGCTTCCAAGGGAGGCTGTGGAATCCCCATGACTTGAGGTTTTTAAGAACAGGTGGATGAACACCTGTCAGGGATGGCCTAGATTTACTTGGTCCTGCCTCAGTACATCAGTCTGGACTTGATGACCTCTTGACGTCCCTTTAAAATTTATTTGAAAATAGGGCAATTTCTATGGTACGGAAAGGGACTTTGCTGTCATACTGCTTCAGCGGCTTTCCAGTAACTCCACTAAAAATGAGTCCACACACTCATGCAGAACTCATGATCAGGAACAGTTTCCCGATTAATAAAACTTAAGGAGCTTAATGTGTTAAAATTGGGGATGATAGGATAATTTCCATCCCAGAATACTGAAAGAGTGGGCACATGAGACTGCTAGTCCAGTAGCAAGGATTTTTAATAAATCTATCTACTTGGGGGTAATACCATATAACTGGAGAATAGCTAACGTCATACCTATATTTAAAAAGGGGAAAAAATGGTCGGACAATTATAGACTTATTAGTCTGACCTCAATAATATGCAAGGCTTTAGAAGAAATTGGGAAGGAAAGAATAATTAAATGAATAGAGGAAAACAGGATATAATGCAATATGAGTTTACCAAAGGTAGATCATGCCAGACTAACCTATTTTCCTTCTTTGAGAAAATAACTGATATTTATTTAAGGGAGGTGCAGTAGATCTCATATACTTGAACTTTAGTAAAGCATTTGATGCGGTAACACATGGAAAAGTATTAGTTACATTAGAAAAGATGGAGATTAGTGCAAGAATTGTGAAGTGGATAAGGAACAGGCTAAAGGGGAGAAGGCAACAGGTAGTGCTGAAAGGTGAACTATAGGACTGGAGAGAGGATACAGGTGGAGTTCCTCAGGAATTGGCTTTGGGACCAATCTGAGTGATTATTTTTATTAAGATATTGGTACAAAATTAGGAGTGTACTAATGCAATTTGCTGATACAAAGATGGGAGGTATTATCAATACAGAGGAGGATCATGATATTATACAAAAAGATCTGGATTATCATGAAGACTGGAGTAACAGAAATGCAATGAAATTCAATAGTACAAAGTGCACCATCATTCACTTAGGGTCTAATAATGAAAATTTCTGCTACAAGGTGGGGGCTCATCAGTAGGAAGTGACAGAGGAAGAGCGAGACCTGGGTGTGTGGGTCGATCACAGGATGACTATGAAACACTAGTGTGATGCAGGTGTGAAAAAAGCAAATGCAATCCTAGGATGTATTAGGCAAGACATTTCCAGTAGAGATAGAGAAGTATTAATGCCATTGTACAAGGCAATGGTAAGACCTTATTTGAAATACTGTGAACAATTCTGGTCACCCATGTTCAAGAAAGATATTAATTTAAGTTGGAACAGGTGCAGAGAAGTGCTACTAAGATGATCAGGGGTATAGAGGACCTATCTTATGAGAGGAGACTGGAAAAGCTTGGCTTGTTTAGCCTACGAAAACGAAGGTTGAGAAGGATATGATTGCTCTCTATAAATACAATAAAAACAACTAGCTATGGCTCTATATGATCACAGCTCTTTCAAACATTCCTATCCACAGCTTCAATATAAGAAGAAATCCTTTTCCAACATCTGTACCTGTGCCATTTCTTCCATAGAAGGCTGAGGGGTGGATGATTTATTTTTAATGTAAATATAAGGATAATGGACTGGCTACCGGGAAAAATGTGTCTCTTAAATAATTACAGAGGAAAGAGGCCACTTTCCCGCTCCAGGCTACAGTGGCCTTGATGGACTTGAGTGAGATAATTTATTCTTACAATAACCACCCTGTGTGGAGCGCCAGGCAATACCATGCTCAGGGAGTATTGTATCATAAATAGAATGATTACAACAGGTCGAAGAGTCCAGACAGCTGTTACATTGCCACGCTGCAGCAATTAGCCACCTGAAATCACAGAAAAGCGATGCAACGAAACCATGTAAAAAATCGCCTATGGCTACACGACTGGAAATGTGGTGCACTCGGCTTGAAATACTTGATGAGGACATCAAATTTCACATTGACATTGCTGAACACTTTACAGCAGGCACAAAGGAGGATTGTTCGACCTGAAGATGTTTAAATTGCCTTCACACAAGAGTTGGCAGGTTAAAAGTCAATATGCAGAAGCGTGGCTATTCCAATGACCAAGATACATGTGACTGCGGTGAAACGCAAACTATGGAATGTCTGTTGGTCTGCTAGTTCCTGAAGGAGCTGTGTACCATGGAAAATCTTGCCAGGGCTACAGACCAGGACATATCATGTAACCAACATGGGGAAAAAACTATGATTCTGGTGCAAGGACATGAGAAGAAGGGCGACCCTGGTCAATCATGTATAGGATCAACATGAGTATTTAGTTTGAGTAACTCAGGGATCAGGTGCTCAAAACAGTGCAGAGTACAATTTTTGTGGTACAGCTAATTGTTTTCTTTTCGTTTCTAGTAGTTTTATTTGTTTTCTTAGTAGTGTTGCCAAGGTACGTTTTTTACCATGGATAATTTTTGTTTGTGTTCTTACAGACTGTAGGAACATGTAGAAACATCCCACTCAAATTCTCCTAGTTTCTGTGCCACCTTTGGCACCTTTGATGTTAATAGATCAATCTTGCTATTCTATGATGTGCAGCTTAGAATCATAGAATCTTAGAAGATTAGGGTTGGAAGAGACCTCCGGAGGTCATCTAGTCCAATCCCCTGCTCAAAGCAGGACCAACACCAACTAAATCATCCCAGCCAGGGCTTTGTCAAGCTGGGCCTTAAAAATCTCTAAGGATGGAGATTCCACCACCTCCCTAGGGAACTCATTCCAGTGCTTCACCACCCTACTAGTGAAACTAGCTTGCATTGATGCTGTTAATTTTGTCATTCATTTCCTGCTATAAAGAGAAAACCTTTGAATCCTGTTAGTTTTTGATTGAGTCTTAAATCAGATGCAGAAGTTAATAAAGAAGGTAAGCCTAGAATCTCAACTAAGTGATGCTGACCACTATAAGATAAGGTCTAACATTAAAAAAATAGGAAAATGGATAACCGCAAGTTGTAGGGAAAAGTAAGAAATTTTAAAACCATAGACTCTGCCTCAAGGCTATTTGAGAATGCTGTATTTCAGATACTGATGGTTTGAATGCCTATGATCAAAAAGTAAAAAGAAGAGAGTAAAATGGTAAGTTTAAGTGGAGAGGTGCACAAGTTTATTAATATCAAGAAAGCTTATGTCAAATAGAAAATTCCTGTCAAACATGAACAGTAGACTGAAACAAACACACACCATATAAGGTACAAGTTCAAAATACTGTGGCAATAGGGATGATATGAAGAATAGATAGCCAGAGATATTAAGGTACTGCATCAAATTATTTATGTGAGAAACAATAGGGCTGTGTATGTAACTGTAAACCCAGGGTACCCATCGAAAGGTGGGACCCAAATATTCTAGCTCCTATAGAATTTGGCAATAAATACATGGATTATGTTTTCCAATCAGAGTATTGATGAGTTGTTAATTCACAAAAAGATTCAGATGTCAGATTCCCAGTTGCTTTTTTAACTAAGCTGCTCATCAAAGGTCTGAATCTGCCATTCTTACTCCCTCTGAGAAATACTTCATTCAGCAAGCAATCCTATTTGTTTAAATGGACTACTTGAGCAGAAGGGTACTATTCAGCATGAGTAAAGGTGGTAATTTGACCCCAAACCAGTATTTAATGTTACCAATTTGGGATTAGAAAAGATGTTCATTCTAAAGTAGAATAGTTTGCTATTTATGCAAATTAGTATTGAATGATGACTTAATAGATACATTGTCCAATATAACTTTGTATTTCTCTAAAAGATCAAAAATGCTTCTTTTTATACTAATAGATATCAAATCTGCCACTCTGCTTTAATAATTCATACTCCTTATGTGTATTTCTTGTCTTTGAGCCATTTTCTGTGGTATCTTGAATATAAATATAGCAACAACAAAAAAGGGAAACAGTTACATTATTGAGAAGATGTGAACTGACATAAACAATCCTACTTGTTTGTTTCTCTGCAGATAGAAAGGAAGTGAAGGTGGGAGAGTATAATGCTGTAGCTGATACACTGGAAATAATCAACAACACCATCAGGTTCCAAGGTAGGACAGGAAATGGAAAAGATGCACAGCAGTTATATGTATTGCTATATAGTTCAGACTTGATGCTTTATACAGACACGTTTTATTACTCTGTTACTGAAAAAGAAGGTTATAAAATCATATGCTGAGGGGATTAGGGCCAGTGTCTCATGCGTGATATTTTATTGTGTCATGCAGTCTCTTAGAAGCTACAAAAGGAGAGTTCTGAAAAGAAAGTAGCAACATTTTGAATGATTATATTGTGTTAGTATTTCTCATTTCGACATCTTGTGCTAATCATAAATGATCTGTGAAAATGGATATTCTTCATTATTTCAGTGGGTTTCAGAATATGTTTTCTCTTTCATGTTCACAAATCCAAAATGCTTTAATTTCATTCCTATGTCATCTCCACCAGTCGGTCTCACTAACATGATGTGTGAGTATATAAAGAAGAGGTTACATTTCTCTTAGTCTTTGTAACTACATGAAGATGCCAGTTGTCATTTTATTGTCTTCAGTAAACTTACAGAAATGAATAAGGGGTCCCTTTTTTTCACAGATAATAGTTGTGTGCATGTATAACTAGGCACAGATAAAGGGCCAGATCTCGGGCCCTGCTAAGGTTTCTTTATACTGGTCTGGCAGCACAAAGCAGCATTAAACTTGTTTTAAAGGATCCATTAAAGATTCCCCCAGCAAGAGGGATTGCTTGGGTGATACAGATCCACCACACCCTTCTTCTCCCAGCACCCCAGCAGAAGCTGTGTGGCCAAGGTGTCCCTATACCCATGCAATCCTTGGCTACTGGAATGGCCCTTTATGGCTTTTGGGAAGCTGGTGTTACTTCCTGTCTCAGAAAATCAGGAGCACAGGATCTGGCCCAAAGCCTTTTGTATAGAATACATACAGTATAATAGTATAATCAGTCATAAAGTTAACAGCTATTAAATTGCACTTCCATTCTGCAAATGTGAAAAATAAATCTTATAAGACCATTCGTTGTTTCAGTTTAATACTGATACAAATAACCAATATGTTCTATGCAGTCATTTAGTTACTGTAGATTTTGAGAATGGTGTCCGTTAATGTAAGCCTCTCTCATTCAGATTTTTTTTTTACTATATTTTTGTCTTATTGCCTGCTTAGTTTTGTGAAGAACATCGCCCTTCGAGTAAATATGTAACTCCTGAATTAAAGTTCTGCAAAAGATTTGCAGTCTGAGGGGGGAATTCTCAGGTGTGTTGCTCCAGCACAGCTAGTGTAAAATGGCTGCAAAGTAGTCAGAAGGCCCCTCCAGGGCATATCCTCAGTATAGAGGCTCAGGAGGTAGTGCAGAACAGGCATAGACCTTTGCAGCAGCTGCCCGCACAGGTGTGTTCCGGGGTGAGTTGGCAAGAGATAGAGCATGAACTGATTATTACTGTGCCCCAGGTATTCTACCATGGTGCACCAGCCTACTGGAGCCATTTCACATAGGTCACAAGTTAGGGTAGCCTTCAGGGCTGTTCTCACCTGAGTTGAGGTGGGATCCTGAAAGCCCTGGGAAAGGCTGCCCCCCTTCAGCTCCTGAGCCAGGCTCATCACTGGTGCAAGGATGACCCTTCTGAGGGAGTGCTCCCAGGATCCACTCCCTGACGGGTTAGGCATATCATCACAGGATACAAGACCAACCAACTGCTTCTATAAAAGCTCTTGTATAATATCTACACCACTTGATCAGCTCGATACTGATGACCCATTGGGAAATGTATTCAAGCCAGATTCAGGGAGGAAAAACATAGGAAGTGTTTTAAAATATTTTTCCAAGTTAATTTTCTTATGAAATCATAGAAATATATCTGTATGCTTCATGCTTGTTTTTTAACTGTCTTGGAATGGTTTGGAGAGTAATGATGGTTTATCCTGTAAGAAATGATGGGATGTGCCAACTTTGTTTTTTCCGTTGTTGTTTTTTTTCAAACCTCTCCCCTCTTATGCCCTTCTTTTTTTAGTCAGCAGTTAGAAGTGTGGTTATGGTAGAATAGTGTGTTAATCCATCTCTAACCCTATTTACTAAATGAAGACAACCACATTTCACAAAAGTTGACAAACTCAGTTGTGGCTAAACCAGATTAAGAGTTTGCTGCACACTGCATGGGCAGGTTTCAACCACTGAGACTATTTTAAAAGATGAAGGCCCATGGGAGGACTTCATAATACACAAAGTAAGAAAGAAAAGACTAGGACAAAGGGAAGGAAGTGAAGCAACATATCTATCTCCAGGGGTTGCATTAATCACTGCGTTTTAAAAATTCAGCCCAAATTGCTTTGACTTTTTTGGGCATTCCCCTTCTGTGGAATGCCAGGCATCCATTGGCTGCAAGGTCAGCCACCTCAGTGAGCCAGGCATCAATATTTGGTGGGGATCGACCTTTTTCATTTTTGCAGGAAGAATTTTTTAGTGACCAAAGATGCATTTTGGAACCATGCCACCCTGTTACCAGTTCACCTCCAGGTATCAGGAACATATCCAAGAATGAAACTTACTATCACGATCCCCACAAGGACAGAGCAAGGGCAAACCTGAGGTTAAGAGTAGCTGAGGAATTAAATCACGTCCAGGCCAGGGGTGATACCAAGGGTCAGAGTCCAAATTAGGTTTCAGGGTTTGAGTCAGGAGGCAAAGTCAAGTCAGCCTTTCACACTGCCCTATATGGAATTGACATGGATACCTTTTCCATTGTGAAGAGACAATCAGGCACTGAACCCCTTCTGTGTGGCTTAAGTAATATGGAAGGCCTTTCACAATCCCTCTGCACACAGGTGAATATCAGCTGAAGTGGAAATATAGAGAACTGTTACACTGTCTCAAAATTACTCTTTTTGTTAAGCCAAGTAGCCCCCAAATGGCATGGGAACTGGCTGGGGTTGGGTGTAATGACTTTGACTGACAACCCAATCATATGTTCTAAAACATGGATTTGAATGTGTTTGAGGTAGAGTTAACACACACAAGACCATATTCTTCCCCATATATATGGTAGCTGTAACGGCTTGCTGCTGTTTTTGCTTTTTGGTCAATCCTTGCTTGATGACAAAATATTGGGCCAAATTTTGAAGTACTCACTCGGTTTTAACTTGGGCAAATTGCTAGTGATTTCAGTGAATAAGGACTTACTGGAACCCTAATAAGGATTTTAGGGTTTGACTAGCTGTAATTAAAAGTAGACTAGGAAAGAATATTCTTAGTCTGTGACTACTTGTGTCATCTCCAATTCAGAAAAGCATTTAAGCATGTGTGTTGCAGTGCTTATTGTTTTCCTGAATAAGGATGGAATTAAGCACATGCTTAAAGCTTTCCTGACTTTCTCCTTCCAACAGGGTATTATATCATCAGAAGTCCAAACCTTTCTTGACTATCTGGTATATCTCCGTTGAAGTAAATGGCTTTACCTCAGGGATGGATATGGCCCACTGTCTTTAGATCTTTTGGGGGTAATGGAAGGGATATATTTTTTGACAAGAATTCAATCTCTATGTGGGCTTTAGCTTTTTTCTTATTGAAATTTTAGGATTGGAGCCTCCAAAGGACAAAACAATTATACAAGAACAGCTGCGTAAGATCTCCTTGCCTCTCTACAGTATTCTTTCAGCACTCACTATCCTAGGAATGATCATGGCCAGTGCTTTTTTGTTCTTTAACATCAAAAACAGAAATCAGAAGTAAGAAATGTACATTATCTTTTTCATTTTTCATTTTTTTCATATTTAAGTACCACATTTGTGGACACTAAAATTATATGAAGAGAACATCACATTGGGAAGACAATATTTTAAAAATGTTATTTGCTTTAATTGAAGTTACTATATAACAGCTTTGTGTTGAAAGATATTAACTATCCATTAGATCAAATCCTTTTATTCTGTTTGAAAAATTAATCTTTTCCACTGTGTGTTATTAGCATAAACCCTAGCTAATTAACCAATGTGTAAAGTAGGGAGTAGCTTTAGCAGAGAAGATCAAAACCCTTAACAATTAATATGCTTATCCAACCTTTTTTGGAAAGCACAAATTGATTTGCATATTTCTAGATTTCTAGTAGAATTCCACAAGTAGGGTCGGCCATCTGTTTAATTAATTTTATAGGAAACTGTTCATTATGGTTTGAGTCATCTAACTGTTGTCTTTTTCTATTTAATGCACCGTCTGCGTCTGTCTGTAGACTAATAAAGATGTCCAGTCCCTACATGAACAACCTTATTATCCTTGGGGGGATGCTTTCCTATGCATCTATTTTTCTTTTTGGCCTTGATGGATCCTTTGTCTCTGAAAAGACATTTGAGACACTTTGCACAGTAAGTAACTTCAAATTCTCTAGCTTAAGAAGCTCTTGCAAACAGCTTTATGTTTTGTGCAAAAGAGATAATTTTTAGCATGTTATATGTATGTTCTCTGTGAATTATTCTGTACGTTTTAACATTGATGCTTTTACTTCTTTTGCCAGGATTTTCAGAAATCTGGATCCAAATTCTGAGCAGTCCAGAGCACCTGCATCTGCCATTGAAGCCAGTGGAACTTGCGGGTGCTCAGAACTTCTCAGGGTTTGGTCCATGGTTCCGATCTTAAGTGTAACTGCACTTCTAAATTTCGAAATTATATATTTGTTAATTATTGAAAGCTGCCTGTGTAGAGCAGCACCTAATCAGAACTGTGGTCTATTATGATTTTCTGAGCATACATGTTTTCTTTGTCAATTAAACATTACTATACATTTCCTGATGGTAGCTTACTACAAAACTTTCTTCCAGTCCTCTCTAGACCTAAAAGAAGTTCATTTTACGCAAGTATTCTAGAACTGGTTTCAACCTAGGTTGTAAACTATCGTAGGCACCAATCCTGCAAATACTGTCATACATGTTTAACTTTACAGAAGTGATAGTCCATTGATTTCAGTGGAAAGATGATCTCTAAGATATCTAGTCTACTGTGGAGTAGGACCAGGATTTTAAACTGAGGACTTGTCTTTATGCAGAGTTTCACAAGTTAACCAGGCGTGATTTTAAATTGATATAGTTAAACCAGTGCAAAAGGCCATGTGGACACTCATTTTGGTTTACTTATAGTCAGGTAGGAACTGGTTTTAGTTAAGCCAAAGTTAGCCACTCTGAAATCAAAATAAAATCATCCACACAGGGGTTTGTATCCAATTAACTAATCTAATTTAATTAAACTGATGCAAGTTCATGTATAGACAAGGCTTGAGTCTACAATTAAACAGGGAACCAATGAAGGTTATTGGTCAGTATTGCCAAGAAGGAGGTCTACCCCATACTGCAAACGATGGAGTTTCCAAGTAAGTTACCTTGTCAGCCCCAGGTAGAGTGAGTTCCATAATGTAAGAACATATGTACACTTATGGCAACTACGATTACAGTGTGACATTTTGATTATATCTTGTCATGACCTATACAGTAGAGATATTATTTTAAAAACTGACTATAAACCTTTATTTAAAATACAAGGAACAAAACTGAGGTACTTTCTTTTGCAGCTGATATATTGCTTTGATGGTATTTTATATTGGTCAGATATCTTTATGACAGTCAATATTAGTCTTCTTTAGAACATGGGAGGGCAGGTGCTCTTTCCAGTTTTCCTGTAGAAACAGAGGCACCCAAGCAAACTTCAGAAAACGTCCTTTCTTCAGGAATAAGCTGTACTCTTCAAATAAGATAGGGCAGGAGATAAGAGGAACATACTTACAAGAAAAGATAAAGGAAATTCTTTCCAAAAATAACACAAATGATACTTAAATTACACAAAATCATTGTCACTGAACAAAACCATAAGATTGTACTCAGCCCAGTGCCTGAGAATATTACATCTAATGTTTGAATTAAAATGCTTCCAGATAAATCTATAGAAGAAATGAAATATTATGTGACTTTATTTTTCATTGTTCTTTGGTTAGTGAACATTTGCAGAGTATTAGGAAGGTAATATTCACAGAAGGGCTTATCAGCTCTTAGAAGTTTCTGGATAACAAGTCCTGCCCTAAAGTGCACTGATCATCTATTGAGTTTGTTCTGATGATGTAATGCTGGCAACTTAATATCCTTAAACCAGGAGCTCTGTTAAGTGAGGTGGAATCAGTCTCTTTAGTTTAAAATTTCAAGACAAAAAACTATGTTAAAATGGAGTTACGGATAAGAGTATGTAACCTTAATCTAAGATTAAAGGTTAAAAAATATGATGGTGGTGGTGTAATTATCCCCAAACCAAGCATTATAAACCCAGAAAATTCAGAGTTAAGGTTACATTAAAAATAAATGCGAACATGTTAAGTTAAAAAATGCACAGTTAAGGCATCCAGACAACTATTGCTAGCTGAAAATACATGGAGACTGAAATTGAAATACTTCACTAATCAAGTTGATTTCACTGAAATTTTATTTCAAAGGGAAAAAAAGTTCCAGTAATGTCAAAACATCCTATTTTGACCTTTTTGGAATAAAATAGTTTGATTTTTTGGCTTTGAAACAACTTTTCAATTTGATTTTTTTATTTTATATTGTATATTCCAAAGGAAAATAAAAAATAAAAATCAATAGTGAAACGTTTCAAGTCAAAACACAATGTTTCAGTAGATCGCAAAACAATTTATTTCAGCATTTTCCATTGCAGAGAACTTCAAAGTATTCAGGTTTTTTTTCCAATTCAAAATGAACCCAAAATCTTTTGTGAAATGGAATTTCCATCCTTTGTCCAGCCCTACAGACAATCTTTATTCTGGCCAGTAGTGACAGTGACACCATGTAATAATCATCTGATTATAATTAAGGCATTTTAGTGTCCATGGTCGCAGATTAGATTAAACTGTTTTAAGACACTTTCAGTTTTTTTCATATTTTTCCCCTTGTGGTATCACTGACCTGTAAAGTTAAAACTGTGGGCTTAATTTATAGGCTTGATGCAGGAATCATTGAGTAAATATTCTGTGCCCTGTGTTGTGCAGGAGGTCAGACTAGATCATCATAATCTAGCCTTAAAATCAGTGAAGATGAATTAATGAATACTACATTTGTTAAAGAGCATAGTTTTTAATTAATTTAACTGTAAACTAATGAATGGATTTATTTGTAAAATAGATTCTGTACTCACAAAGTGCTGTAAATTTTTTTCACAGAAAACAAAGAGATTGAATCCTTGTGTTCTTTGCAAACCAGAACTGAGTTTTAATGATGGAGTCACAACTATCATGTGCACAATGGAATTGCCACCAGTGCCTCAATGCTAAAATATTTCAGTTGTTTAATATCCTTGTGTAATTGCTCTAATTTCTGTTTTTCAAATTCACTGCCAGAATTGACACTATTTAAACACAGCAAGAAATTAGTTGCAATTTACTGCACTAGTGACTCATTAGCAGCTTTAATTTTTTTAATTTTCAAAGATATTACTGTATCTGTTATATACTATCTTAACTAAAGACATTTTTCATTTATAAGAAAAAATGACAGTCAAAACTGATGTATTACATATGGAAAAAAGATCTGTAGAGACTACTGAAGAAAATATTTAAATAGTTTAAATATCTTATTTCACTGAATAATAAAAGGAGAAGAAAAAAAATCTTAAAACCAGGCCATAAATAAAAGGAGGTGTTCCTCTCCACCCCTCAACTGAAGTTATGCACATTAGATATAGTCCACATTTACCCCTTCTTGGGGTTTGGCTTTATTGTTTTCTTACATATTCACAATATATAAAGATCAGCTTACCATTTCTCCTAAAGCATGACTGTTTCTAAGGGGTTTCCAAAACCACACAGAAGCATTGGAATTGCCCTACTGGATCAGCCAGGTGGTCCATTGTCACAGACTGCCTGGCCCTTTAAGGGGAGTCAGGCTCAGCCTGGCCTATGATCTAGCATTCAACCCCCAGGTAATTCTGATTTGGTGACTCAGTTACAATTAGTGATCCCAGATGGGAAAGAGTCCAGGAGAACTACACAGAGAGGGAAGAAAACTCAGTGAGAGAGGAGACCCGAGAGAGCGGAGCAAGGCAAGTTCCCACTCTCTGGGAAGGGGCAGGTGAAGGCAGGCTGGAGAAAACCACAGGGATTAGGTTAGGCTCCTGTGGGATACCCTGAGACCCACCCTCCTCCTCAGGTTTGAGACCTGGAGCTCCAGCCCAAGCAGGAACATCCACGTGGCTATTTTTAGCACCAGAGCGTAAGCCTTTCAAACCCAACTGTGTGTGTTGCTGAAGCCACCAGAACCCTGCCAGAGCAGCAGTGTCTATCTGTAGCTAGGACTCATATGTTATATGCCAGGAGTGGCCAACCTGAGCCTGAGAAGGAGCCAGAATTTACCAATGTACATTGCCAAAGAACCACAGTAATACGTCAGCAGCCCCCCATCTGCTCCCCACCCCTGCTCCCAGTGCCTCCCACCCACCGGCAGCCCCGCCGATCAGCGCCTCCCCTCCCTCCCCGCACCTCCCAATCAGCTGTTTCGTGGCGTGCGGGAGGCTCTGGGGGGGAGGGGGAAGGAGTGAGGGCACGACAGGCTCAGGGGAGGGGGCGGGAAGGGGTGGAGTGGGGGCAGAGCCTGTGGCAGAGTCAGGGGTTGAGCAGTGAGCACTCCCCAGCACACTGGAAAGTTGGCGCCTGTAGCTCCAGCCCCGGAGTCGGTGCCTATACAAGGAGGCGCATATTAACTTCTGAAGAGACGCATGTGGCTCCAGAGCCACAGGTTGGCCACCCCTCTTATATGCAGTCAGTAAACATTTTTTGCACCCCACTGTGTCCATGTGGTTCCTTCATATTATGTTTGTGTAAAGAACAGAAGATACAACATAATCATAATGTGTAAATATTTACACTCTCTATGGAAATGCCACAATACCATGAAAGAAAAGTGGGATACCATATAAGAATAAATTATTTGAGAAAGAAACAAAAGAACATAGACATTTAAAGCTTTTCAAGCTTTCGTGGAGCCATAAGATGTGACTTGGGGATAATGCAATGGAAGGTGCTGAAATTTGTGAAAAACTACATAAAAACTAGTATACAAATTAATTCTGTAGCATTCTCCTAAAAAAGCAATATCGTTGCATTATAATGCAGAGATGTGGCTAAAAATTAACTTGTACAGAGCCTAACCACTAGTTCTTTTCTTGGGGCAGATGGGAAAGCGGTGTACGCTGGCATATACAAGCACACAGCAGAAGTTTCTTGCCAGTTAGGGATGGTCCATGTGTGCTCCTAAAGCTGCTCACAAAGTTCAGGTGATTTGGCTGCCTAGTGCAAATTATTCCTGTTTAGCGCAATCCTAATGTGCAGTGTTTC